GATTCCTGAAAAATGTTAAGAAAAATTCATTGAAGGGTCGAAGTAGGTGATATAGAAACTATTGCTTTGAAAAAAAAAATCTACAAAGCACAAGACTTGACACCCAATTATATATCTAAATAGTTTTTTGATTGCTGAAAACATGATGCCCACAAATTAAAAGTCTTCATATATTGGCCATTTTAATATCTAGCTTGGTAGAAGCATGAAACATAACACTACAAAAGTAACTATCCCTTTAGGATTTAATTTACTTATTTAAGAATGTAGACATACCCATTTTTCAGTGTCCCTGATGGGTACAGAATGATCACATCACACATCTTTTGATAAAGATTACTTAATGTCTGCTAGGCCACACTCCTAGCTCAGACCGGAAGGCCTGCCTTGCCTCCCAGAGCTGAGGCAGCCAGGTGGGGCAGGGAGCCACCTCAGCTCTCACATCTAAACGCCACCCAGGAGGGGTCACTCTGTTGCAAGATTCCTCATTTGTTCCTGGACCGCTCTCCTTCCCGTACCCTCAGTCTTAGAGGAGAAACACAACAAGGAACACATCTGAGTTTGGCAATATGGCTGCATCTAATGAGATGTCAGGTCATTTGGGAATGACCCCTGCAAACTGACTCAGACCCCAGATCAGCCTAAGAACGTGCCCCCCCTTGTATGTGGAGAGGTACTGGGCTGCACTAAATTGAGTGTAGGAATTGACATTTTTACAGAAAGTTTTCTTTTCTCTCTCTCTCTTTCTTTGCATGTCATCTGCATCCTTCCTCTTCACTAATGTCTTTGGCCATTACATTCTGTAAAACTCAACATGTGGGAAGGAAATATAGGTGTTCACCTCTTATTTCTTCTTATTTAAAACGTGGGCATGTTTAGTAGAAGTTGTTTGCTATAGATAAGAGAGAAGAGCAGAAAGACACCAGGCACATAAGGAACTTGTTTCCCGCAAGAAGTTGTAAATAAGGGACTTTAGAGGAATTTAGAGGAGTTCCGATTAAGCCCTAATGACCTCTGCTACCTGCCTGCGGGTGGAGGAGAGGCGCGCTAAAAGCCTGACAGCAAGGCCTGAGACACGGACGTTACATCAGGAGAGATACTAACCACATTGAAAAAACAGATCTAGCGTAAAGGGCGATGTAAGTGCTATGTGTTCCGTTGAGCATTTTTTCCTTCTTTTGAATATCTTAGGTACATATGTATACAAAAGCCTTACTAATCTTGTACAGTGACTAGCAGAGTGTCTTACCTGTGATAACTCAATAAATATTTGCCTTGTTATAAGCAATTTGTGCTTTGTTGTAAGTAATTAGGAACATGCTTTCATGTACTCCTTTTCAAGTTAGCTTAATGCTACACTGAAGTGTCGTCAAAAAGGCTTTGAAATAAGGATTATGGTCAAGACCCTAGATAAGGTATTGATGAATGAGTAAATCAACCCCTTTCAAGAGAGATCAGTTCTGTGTGGTTCATATTGAAACAGTCCAACAAAATAGTATAATGCTGTGTTAGCATCCTCTCTCTCTCCCCCCCCCCCCCCCTCTTGTTGTTAAACCAAGCAGACCTTCATACTTATACAACAGTAGTTCTAAATCTTTTTGGGGTCAGACCATTTTGGTAAGGCAAAAGTGTCCATAGACAAATTATTACTATATTCCTCTCCTGAATTCTTAAAAAGTGAACAGGAGGAATAAGGTTCTGATGAAATTTCAGTAAGGTATTTAACTCATTATTGACTCATGCCAGGAACAAAAATAAGGCCATTTTTCATGTTATAAACAAACATGAATACAGTAACTTTCATTCATCTAAAATAGCCAGCTAGCTACATTTCCCTCCTTCCAGCCTTTCTAACAAGGGGCCATCCAGTATTTATTTATCTAATAATGAACTTCCAATATGCTCCCTAGTGCTAGGTCACAATAAAACTAGTCTCCTGTACATAACATTGTATTGTAATGTGTATTCCATTTTTGAATGAAATCATCTTGTGTTTTCATAACATTTTATAATTTTTTAAAAAAGATTTTTTTGATTTTTATAGAGAGAGGAAGGGATAGGGAGAGAGAGAGAGATTGAAAAACACACCAATGTGAGAACGAAACATCAATTGGCTGCCTCCTCCACGCCCCTCACTGGGGATCTAGCCCGAAAACTCGGGCAGATGCTCTGACTGGGAATCAAACCGGCAACCTCTCAGTACACAGGATGACACCCAACCAACTGGGCCACACTGGCCAGGGCAAAACATTTTATAATTTTGATCAGTTAATTAATTTAATTCTTATAATAAAGGTAGGATGGTGCTGATCTTTTTTCTGAATTAATGAAATTTTACAGAATTATAAGCATAGCTTCAGTAGCAACAATATTTTATTCAATAATTTCAAAGTTATTAGGTGTTGCACTCATATCATAAGGCTGTTAGCTGAATTTTTCAAGTAACTGCAATAGATTCTCAACTATTTTGGACAAATGGAATTCATTTTATTCAAAGAAATCAATGATCTGGAAGTCTCCTGAGTGCATATATCACAGTTTTAGAGTAACAATATTATTTTTGTCTTCCTCTTCAATAAGACAAATGATATGGAATTGGTTGTTATGTTTTTCCTTATTTAATTTTCCTTGGTTATTTAATCTTCCTGACTACTTGTTTGTCTTGAAATTACTTCCCTTGCCTAATACAATGAGTATTAAATAACAAATTAATGTTTAACACATTTAAATCTTATTGAAATATGTAGAAATCTGTTCATTTGGGGGACAATAATATTCTTATCTGATGTCTTCTATAATTTTGCAAATTCTTCAATGAACAGCAGGGGGAGTTCAAACTCTAGTATGAAGGTAAATACCTTCTGGTTCAAGCCACTTTCACAGCAACACAGCTAAGTTTCAGATAGAAATAGCTGTTACACTATTTTTAAAAGACCTGACACCCTAATACCCTTCCCCTTCCCAAAGGTTGTTGCAGTAAAATGGTATTGCTTTTTAAGTGGCACCTTTTGGATTTTCTTTTCATATGAAAGAAGTCTGCCAAGTTAGATAGTATTTCACTGTGCCATTACCAAGCCTATAGCTGTAAAACATACAGTTACTTCCAACTCAGTGATAAGTGTAATGACTGTTTTCAGCTTTGAAACTAAAGTCTGATTTCAGTCTGAGGGTAAATGAGTAAAAACCAGAAATGACACAGTGGAGAGTTAGCTTTGAAAAAACTTCTAGATTAGTGGTCAGCAACCACAACCTGCCAGTGTGGCCTGCTGGCTGTTGTTTTTAAAGAAACTGCACTGGCAGACATGCATGCTCCTTCTTTTGTGTACTGTGTACTCTTTATGGCTGCGTTCTCCCAATGGCAGAACTGAGACGTTGTAGCATAGAGCCGGCTGAGACTATCTCCATTCTAGCTCTTTACAGAGTACGTTTGCCACCTGGGTCTAGATATTTAATGAAGCCCTGGACAAAATACTGACCCTTTTCTTTCCTAAAATTTTAGATTTTGAAATCACAAATTAAAAAGACCACTTCAGATTTTACCAGCAAGAATGACAAAACTATGGATTTCAAAACACGTTTGGTCTGAAACTAGGAAAACAAGTTGGGAGAGAAAAAAAAATCCACACACAATCTTGATTTCTTTTAGGTACAAAAATCACCAATACATTATGTTCTCCATCTGCTCAAAATTAAAAAGACAACCAGCTCCTTTTTTTCTTTTCTTTTCTTTTTTTAACAAAGATAAGAAATATAAAAATCTAGTCATAAACAGCCTTCAAAGTACAATTAAAAACCAACTAGACCAGTGGTTCTCAACCTGGGCTGCACATGAGAATCACCTGGGAATCTTTTTAAAATCCTGATTTCTGGGCCTCATCCTCCGGAAATTCTGTTTCTTTGTTACTAATGTTGCGTCCGCCCCGCCTGCCCCCCCTCCCCCCCTCTCAACTCTGCATTCACTTCCCAGAGATAAGCAGTGAATAGACTGGCGTGGGGCCACAACCCCCCCAACAAAGAAACAGAATTTCCAAAGGATGAGGCCCAGAAATCAGGATTTTAAAAAGATTCTCAGGTGATTCTAATGTGCAGCCCAGGTTGAGAACCACTGAACTAGAGGGATTCATCTTTTGGAGGATTAATGAGTTCAGGATTTAAACACTTAAATTACCGCCACGTTGTCGATTTCACAATGGCTGCGATGATGAGGAAGAGTGTACACAGCAGGTGTAATAGCCAATTCCATCCTGTCACCATCCAAAATGGCCTTTGCTCTCTTCAGGATACAGGAAGTTGTAAATGTCTCCATGACACTCAGCATAGTTGTCTCCATCCCATATGAAAAGAGGCAGTTTCTATGGCAATACTAGTTAAGTGCCTATCATGCTGCACTAATATAGTGCAAAAATGTGCCTTCCGTTTAGCAAAATAAGATGCAGGCAACCAGTTTGAATTTCGGGGAAAGTAGAAACTTACTGTATTAACACAAGCAAATTAGTTTTCCAGACAATGACCACTATAAAATACTGAACTTGAGGACTCTTCTAAGATACTAGTACATGTCCAGCATTCGTACTTTGGAGAAAGACAGGGATTAAGTCTTATAAAAAGTCTTTGCCTCTGAAATGCAGGTCAATAAAAGCTACCATCGATGCTGAATTTACTCAATGCGTTTTCTGCTCAGCGTAGAGCATTAAAATGGCTTATTACCAGGCATATCATCTGACATAGTAATATGTATTATTCAGTTGAGTGCACATGATGTTATGCTTGCCTATGGTATTGTAGAGATCTTGGCATAAACTCTTCATGCTAAAATGTG